CCAGAGTTAGTATTACATGAATATTAAAAAAAGTATCAAAATAATCTAGAAGAAATAAAAGATCACTGATAAAACAAATAAGAGAAATGAAGGGGACTTGTTTTAACAGATATAAAAAAATAGAATAAAGATATAAGAATAAAAAGAGTGGTTTAACATATAAATAGAAACAAAATACAACACAATATAAAATTTATATCACTACTAAGAATATACACAGCTTTTTTGGGGGAGGGGAACAGATGGTGTGGTGGTTAATGGCGCTGGACTTCCACATGGCTGATATATATATATATATATATATATATGTATATATATATATATATACATATATATATATGTTTTTTTAAAAGAATATACACAGCAACATGCTCTAACACTCATCATCTCTTCCTCCCAACATTGAGATGGTGGTATTACTCCATGGAGATTTCTTTACAAGAACTTTGTCCAAAATGGTAGACTTAGCATATGACTTTCTTTTCCTCTCACGATTTCCCTTAGTGCATCATGAGCACACACACACACATTTACACACAAATACACACAATGGACAGTCTAGTTGGAAAACAAAACAAAACAAAAAAAGATCAGGGATAGGCCAGAAGAAAATGAGAAAAGTCAGGAAATTAGAAAGCAAATAGTGTCAGACTGACCAGGAAAACACAACAGGGAATTTTACAGCTTAAAATGCTAGAGGTTAGAGTGGTTACTTCTACCTACAGAAGTGTCTACTGTATAGGCATAAATTTTAAAAACAGGCAAGTAAAAATGGGGTAAGCAGCAGGTGAACTAATAGAAAGAAGGATTCAGAAAAATAACAAATTGGGCCTCTTTCCACCACTTTCTCTCCTACAGAAAGCATAGACAGTAGTTTCCTTTTGACCCCAAAAGGAAAGAGGACAGCTTTCTATACAGTGTAATTTCTTCATAGGTGGGGAACACAGAGTATGTTTGTGTATGGAGAGTCAAGAGCAGAGACATGAAGCTTGAATTCTCAGTGGACTTTCATATCAGATTTTGGGCGAAGAATGGCAGCTGAGAGCCAGCTCTGACTTGGAGGTAATAAGCACACTCAACTCTCCATCCAAATGGGAGGTCTTATTTAGGAAATTATATTCTAGTGACTTCTAACTCTAGCATCCTTCATCCACTAATCCAAGGAACATAGCCAGGCCTCTTTCTAAGAAAAAAGGCTATTGGAAAATGGATTGTTACAAATTTAAATTAAAGAAAAAAATTTTATACCAGCTACCTATACCAATTAATATAGTTAGAAGAATGATCACTTAAAGAATGGTCTAGTAACCAAGGAAAACTGAGCAACTGAAGAAACTGACCCATTCATAATAGAGAAGGATGAAGATCAATGAAAAGAGAAGGCCAGATGGTGATACAACCAGTAAAATGTGACGTTCTGGGAGCCTCACCCACATGGGAAGACGACAGGTTCATATCAGGAAACCTTTCTGAGTACACCAGGCATGTACCCAGGATCCAACACAGCCTGAAACTGAAGGTGAATCATGGTGATATGAAGCTTTTGGGGTGTGCTTGTGTGCTCATACTCTCTAAATAAGTGAATAAATAAATAAATAAACTTCTTTGAAAAAGTTTGAAAATTGATGAAAAGAAAGAAAAATTTATCTTGGACAAAAAATAATTCAAAGAAAAGAAAAATGTTAACAATTCTAGCTAAAATTCTTAGAGTTTTCATCACAATTTATCTGGTAATACAAATCAGTTAATGCCATAAGTTATAATAACAGAATGGAAAAATATGTAGCTGCTAAAAAGTATAATGTGTACCTATTTGTTCTGACATATAGGAAGTCTAAGACTGGTTTTGTGTCAAGAAAGTTGTAGAATACTACAAATGGTAGTATTGTGTCAAGAAAGTTGTAGAATACTACAAATGGTATCATCCCAGTTGCCCAAAACTTTAAATACATAGAAGACATGGAAGATAAACACCCTGTTCCCTGTGAGAAAAGGAGGGGAGGAGAAGACTTGGTTGTTTTACTATTCCTGAATAGGTCATATTATTTTACAGAGAGAATGGATTACTTTTGGAGTTAAAAAGTAACATAAAAGCTAGAATAAATCATTGTACTTTTCATTGGCAGAGCTTTGATGAGTGTCTAATTCACCAGATTATCACAGACATTTTAGCATTGGTTTTAATAATATCTTGAAAATCAGAATGAACTGAACGTTCTGGGAGCCTCACCCACATGGGAAGACGACAGGTTCATATCAGGAAACCTTTCTGAGTACACCAGGCATGTACCCAGGATCCAACACAGCCTGAAACTGAAGGTGAATCATGGTGATATGAAGCTTTTGGGGTGTGCTTGTGTGCTCATACTCTCTAAATAAGTGAATAAATAAATAAATAAACTTCTTTGAAAAAGTTTGAAAATTGATGAAAAGAAAGAAAAATTTATCTTGGACAAAAAATAATTCAAAGAAAAGAAAAATGTTAACAATTCTAGCTAAAATTCTTAGAGTTTTCATCACAATTTATCTGGTAATACAAATCAGTTAATGCCATAAGTTATAATAACAGAATGGAAAAATATGTAGCTGCTAAAAAGTATAATGTGTACCTATTTGTTCTGACATATAGGAAGTCTAAGACTGGTTTTGTGTCAAGAAAGTTGTAGAATACTACAAATGGTAGTATTGTGTCAAGAAAGTTGTAGAATACTACAAATGGTATCATCCCAGTTGCCCAAAACTTTAAATACATAGAAGACATGGAAGATAAACACCCTGTTCCCTGTGAGAAAAGGAGGGGAGGAGAAGACTTGGTTGTTTTACTATTCCTGAATAGGTCATATTATTTTACAGAGAGAATGGATTACTTTTGGAGTTAAAAAGTAACATAAAAGCTAGAATAAATCATTGTACTTTTCATTGGCAGAGCTTTGATGAGTGTCTAATTCACCAGATTATCACAGACATTTTAGCATTGGTTTTAATAATATCTTGAAAATCAGAATGAACTGAACATACAACAGATTCTTTATTCCTCCACTTTGATTTTAAGCACTTCTAATTATGAATACAGTTGTCCCTGCAGGATGCAAGTGAGAATAGTGGCATGGGTGACACCCACAACTCAACTTTTATCTTTATTTCCAACCACCCATATTCCCACCTGATAATGATAAATTGGTGGGAGTTCAAAGATGTCTAGACAATTGATCATTGGTGTGAAGAAACTGACTTATGAGGACAGATTAGAATGGCTGAATATGTATTTGGTAAAGTGTATGACAACTGGGTTGAGTGGGAAGAAAGAACGTGACTATTATCTCAAGCATACTTGAATCATTCCAAAGAGGGAAAGTCTATTCTAAACTGGGAGCCAGCAAATGATTAACATACTTAGAGGAAAAACACCCTCTATATACACATATTGGCTAGCTGATTTATTTTTAGGTCCTGCCTAGGGAAGTTCTAAAAGAAGGTATCCTCAGGGAATCATCTCTGGGGTGGGGAGAGGCAGGGTCTCTGTGCCCAGGAATCCCAGAGTGTCTGAAAACACTTGGAGCTCTCCATGATGGATTGTCCCTAGGGTATCTTATAGCATGGCTGGTGGATGGGTCAGTTTCAGAACTGTGTCAGCCAGCCCATATCACCAGTCTGGAAACCTTTCCCCAGGCTTTCCATCAGTGTTCTTTTGGTGCTTACTGATGTTGCCAGTATAGCTCTTAGCTTATATTATTTTGTTTCTGTGTCTCCTATGGGCTCCCGACCAATAGGAACTCTATTTCAACAAGGTAACATGTCAAAAATACCGAGTTTGGAGTCAGGGCAGAATGCAAGCACACCAGAAATGTTTTGACTGCTTATTACTTAGAATAGAAAGTCAGAGCAGAAAAATGTGAGGGGTCTATTCCAGTACAGACAGAAAATTACCACAAAGTTCTCACAAAGAATTGAAGTATGTGTCACAGGCAATAAAAACGGTGGTGGTGGTATGTGTGTGGTTGGAGGGGGCTAAAACCATTTTAATTTGACATACAGACAAGCATATAGGCAAACATTACTATCTATTGTTTTGTAATCTGCTTTTAGTTTCTTTAACAGCACATAGAAGACATATTAGGGCAGGGACTAAAACATCGACTGCAAAGGTACAAGTGGCTGGGTTCAAATCCCAACTCTGTTGCTTACTAAATGGCCTTGGGCAAGTTACTGAAATTATCTATGCCTAGGTTTCTTCATCTGTAAAATGGAGATTAATAATAATATCTGCTTTTGTCTGTATCAATTATATTTGATTGCTATGAGCATTAAATAATAGTGAGTGCTTTTAAATAGCAAAAGGAATAGACTTTGACTAATATACACCTGGTTCTCCTGCCTTACCACCTATTCAACTTCTTTTACTAAAGGAAACCCTGTACCCATCACATTGTCAATTCCATTTCATAAACGGTCATTCCTCTCCCATCAATTTAGTCCAGTACCATCTCTGTGAAGTTATCCCTGAGTTACTCCAATGTTGAGTTACCCCTTTCTTTTTTTTCTCCAGTAACATCTTGTTCACTTAATTACCGAAGACAACGTTTTTCAAATTGCAGTCATTTGGATTGATACGTAAGTTCGTATACTCTTTGTGTGGAGAAGGAAGATGTGAAAAGGGAAATCTTGTTTACTGAGAGTCTGTTATATCCTTGGTCATCACCTCTGTGTTTTAGAACTGACAACTCCACGAGAGTTGAAATTAGTAACTCTTATATCTCTGGCATTTGGTACCACTGGCAATTTACCAATGTGTATTAGATAAATTGATAAAGAAATCTCAACAATCTGGGTATGTTTATCCTTACTACTCACCACTGATGCATATTTTTAAATTAAAATATAACTCAGGCACTATCATATTTACTTTTTTGAGTGTGCAATTCAGTGGTTTACAGTATTAGATTGTCTGGAAATTCATGTCATATTTTTCTGTGTAAAAATGTGTTATGACTTTCCGGACAACCCAATATATTCACAAAACTGAATTATTACCACAATCCCTAAACATTTTCATTATCCCCAAGAGAAATGCTGAACTAATTAGTGAACATTTCCCATTCCTTCCCCTTTCCTGCCCCTGGCAACCACTAATTTATTTCCTGTTTCTATCAGTTTGCCTATCCTGGACATTTCATGTAAATGAATCATGCAACCTATGACCTTTTGTGTCTGACTTTTTCATCCTAGCATAATATTTTCAAGGTTCACACCTCGATACCATGAAGCTATGTCGTAGGTATCAGTATTGCATTCCTTTTTATGACCAAGTAATATTCTATTGTGTGGATATGCCACATTTTTGGTAAAGTAAATACAACTGAGTTGAGTGGGAAGAAAGAGGAGTATTTTATTTGTTTCCATTTTTGGCTATTTTAGACACTTTTGCTGTGAACAACTCCATACAAGTTCTTGTAAAGATATATTTTCATTTCTATTGGTATATAGCAAAGAGTGGGCTAGGTGGGCAACTCTATATTTAATGGATTGCCAAACTTGTCCAAAGAGGCTTTACCATTTTACATTCCTAACAGTAATATAAAAGAGTATCAATTCCTCCACGTTCTTGGCAAAAGTTGTTATTATGCATTTTTTTCCCTATTGACATCTCAGTGGATGTAAGGTGGTATCTTACTGTGGTTTTGACTAAAATTTACCTATTATTAGTGCAGTAGAGCATTTTTAAATTTGCTTATTGACTGTTTATAAACTTTCTTTGGAGAAATGTCTATTCACGTCCTTCATCCAATTTTCAAATGGGTTATTTGACTTTTTTATTTTGAGTTATAACAGCTATTTATATATTCTGGGGAAGAATTCATTTTGTGGCCAGACTGTGGTGGCACAAGAGGTAGAGTGTTGCTTCATGATATTGGAGCCATACGGGAAGGTGATGGGTTCAGTCCCTGGTTTATCTGTACATGCTGGGTAAGCCTGCAGGTACAGTCATATGCCTGACTGGCTGCAAGACTAGGGTAGAGGTTGTAGCATGGCAAGATTCAATGGGGTGTTTTTTTCTCTTTCTCTCAAAGAATAAATATTAATAAGTAAATGTGAAAGAATCCATTTTGCAAATACTTTCTCTTATTTCATGGCTTTTTTTTTTCTTTCTTGATGGTATCCTTTGAATAGCAAATGTTTTTTTTCATTTTGGTGTTTAATTTCGACTAATTTTCAAATCCAGATTAAACAAGTTCTTCTGAAATTTGCACTTTAGGTGTAATCTCTAGAAGAATGCCATTGTCTAACCCAAGTTCACAAAGATTTACACCTACATTTTTATCAAAGAATTTTACAGTTTTAGCTCTAATATTTAGGGCTATGGGCCATTTTAAGTTATTTTTAAATTTTAACCCTTATATTTAGGGCTATGGTCCATTGTAAGTTAATTTTTACATGTGATGTTAAATAAGTGTCCAACCTTATTCTTTTGTTTGTGGATATTAGTTGCTACAGAAACATTTGTTGAAAAAACTATACTTTTCTAAAGAATTATCTTTAGACCATTGTTGAAAATCAGTTGACCATAAATGTGAGGGTTGCATTTTTGACTTTCAATTCAGTTCCATTTATCTATATGTTTATTCTTATGCCAGTGCCACCCTGTCTTGATTATTTTAGATTTGTAATAAGTTTTGAAATTGGGAAGTGTGAGTCCTCCAACTTGTTTTTTTTTTCTTTTTCAAAGTTACTTCGACAATTCTAAGTTTATTGTATCTCTTTATTAATTGTTTGCTGATCTGACTCTTCTGCAAGTCAATATTTACTATTAAGTCCCTCTAGCAAATTTTCATTTTAGATATTATACTTTTCAACTCCAGAATTTTACTTGTTTATATTTCATAATTTCTATCTCTTTTTTCATATTATATTTTAGGTTAGACATCATTTTAGACATGATTTCCTTTATATTTTATAGCATATTCATAATAGCTGATATAAAGTATTTGTATAAGTCCAATGTCTTGGCTTCCTCAGAGACTTTTCTATTAACCATTGTTTCACTTCTAAAAGGGTCATGAGTCCTATTCTTTGTGTATGCTTTATACTTTTTTTATTGAAAACTAGATGTTTCAAATTATATATTGTGGTAATGTATTATCAGAGTCCCTTTTCTCATATTTGGTTGTTATAGTTATTTGTTGTTTTTATTATTCTCGTGTATTTGATTAATGACTTTTTATTTCCTGAATTAATTTTTAAGTTCATTTACTTTTTTGTGTGTAGCCACTGAAATGTGCTTAATTATCTTAGTTGGGCAGAAATTTTCTTAAATTCCTTGAATGAATGTGCCTCTGCTTTTGCTAAAGGGCTGTGTGTATGTGTGGTGGGGTATGTGTCCCATCTACAGTTTACAGTTCTGCCTGAATTTTCATTTAGGCCTTGAGACTTGTATAGTGCCTTAAGATCAGCCAAGGTTTTCAGCAGCTAGTACATAGCTCTACACATGTGCACAGTTTTCTCGATTCTTGGGAAAATGTCAGAGCTTTTCCAGCTCTCTATGGACATTGCATTCCCGAGCTTTTTGTTTCACATGTTTTTGGGTCAACTTCTTATTTGGCCCAACTGTTATAAAAAGATTTCAGGCAGCTATGATGTTAAATAGTTGCCATTGATTGTTTTCAACAAATATTCATAGAAAACATCTGTTCTCAGGATGTAAATGCTAAGTGAGGTCAAATGAAGGCAAGTTCCATTAGTGGCTGCTTCCAAGGAAATTTCAGAAATATCTAGTCATCAAAATTCTCTGGAGAGATGGGTTTTGGGCTGCCTTCTGTGACTGCTCAGGTACTGGTCTTCATGGTTACTGGGTTACAAGGCTATTGGTTTTCAAAAGGGGGGGAGGGACTAGATTAAGTTATTATACCAAGGAACCTAAGGAACCTCTTGTTCTCATTGTGATTTATCTTTTTTTTTTTTTTAAATTAGTACTCCTAGGAGTTTTGAAAGCCTTGGTTAATATCCACAGTTTTAGGAATTTGATTTTGACCACCCTTTCAACATTCTCATTATTTTTATGGAGGAAAAAAAAAATCTCAAAGGCCCTACTCTTCCATTCCAACAGTGTTCTCTCCTACTGACACATATTAACAGTTTAGATAAATCTATAAACATAAGATAATAATACTCTTCTGGTTATGCCAACTCTACTCTTAGTGGTGAGAGAACATAAATAAATAGCAACATAAGTTAACAAACTTGAATGTTTACTGATAGGAAAGCTATAATTTCAATCTCTCTCACATTCATAGTAATGGTTGTTTTGAGATTTTTTATTTTAAGAAATATAATTGGGAGTCTTTATTCATCCCCAGTTCTTTGTGTGGCTGAAGCCTACAGTTGGTACATGGTAGGGACACAATCAGTGACAGCTTCAGAGAGAAGCTTTCTTCTTTTGGGTTTTCCCTGGTTTCTGCTTGAAACCTCTTCTCAGTTACCTATAGTTGCCCTTGAACCTGCATTTTCAGCTATTAAATGAAGGTCCTAACATATCAGTTGATGGTATAACAAGTAAGAACTAAGAAACAAGCATCCAGTGGAAGATATTTTAATACCAAACTGTGGCAAAGTCTACAAGACGTACTATAATATTCAGGCGGCACATAGAGCTGAAAACGAGTATGTCTAATCCAGAGTAGGTATCCAACAAACAATATCTCAAAGAGGCAGATTTTCTCTAATTTATTCCTTGGTTATTAATAATTACTTTTTCATGAATTCATTGTTTAAGAATCAGTATATGCCCTGTAAAATCATCTTATCTGGTCCAAGCCAAAATGTGTGAATAGTGTTTTGGAAACAGTTGTACAACAGATTCCTCAATCCTATTTGTAAATTGGCTGTTAATGATTCCAAGGTGTTCCTAAGTCTTATTGAAAAAGCTAAAGAGTAATTATGTCAAATAATTTTTAATATAATTAACTATAATCTGTTATACAGTCATATTAAAACTGCCAAGTTTTAGAAATGTAGATGCATCTTGGTCCAGCATTATTCAATAGATAAGTAGAGCTTGGATTCTAGTTAGCTACCATGATTTTATTGGAGAAATTTGCCACATGACCATTAGTTAATGACAATAAGCTTTAACATGATTAAACTTTATTGTTCATCAAATATGTTTCTCAAATAGACATTTTTAAATGAGGAAGACTATATGATATGATCAAAAATGGTATTCTTAACAAATATGAGGCAACTTCAAAAAGTTAATGGAAAAATAGAATTAAAGTATGAGTTTATTTTGTTGCAAAAAATTTTATATCTGTGGATAGTTTTTTTCCTTTTTTTTGGGGGGGGGAGAGGTTTTTCACTATAGGGCGCGTGCACTTGCCAGACAGACAGAGAGAGACATAGAGACAGAAAGCGAGAAATCACCCCCCAGGGGGGGATGGTCACGCCACAATCCCTTCTCCTCCATTCTCCTCTCGGGATCTTGGGCACGCACGCACATGCGCCAGGCATGAGTTTTAAGCCACCGGGTCCGGGATGTGAACTGCAGTTGACTACATGGGAGCCTAGCGACATAGCCATTACGCTAACTGCGAGTTCCCTGTGCATAGTTTTTTCATAAT